TCTTAACTTACATTTAATTAATATCCTTCATTTTATTTATTTTATTAAAACTAATTTCTTCTATTACTGTAAATTTTGATTTTCTTTCATCTGTAAACACTTTCAGCTGCAGATAAAGTGCTCAAATAAACTTTTCATTACTATCATTATTATTAAGAGCTGAAAAGTCGGGTCTCTATCGATTAATGTTTTAAAGAATCCACTTCTTGTTAATAAATTAAAACAAAAGACTAATAACAGTAAAGTAGAAACATTTGAAATGCCAGATTGATCTATTAATGAAATTGTTATGGTGGTTATTTTTGTTTTATAATGTTATTATGTTTGTTTATTTAGAAATTATTATTATTATTATTATTATTATTATTATTATTATTAAAATAAAACCTATAAAGAGCTGTCTATTAACCGTACAGTTGAATCATATCTGTTTCTCAGTCTATCCTGTTCAGGATGAACCTGGAACAGCAGACAGTTCTGTTTGTATAACACAAAAAAGAACTTGTAATGTGGCAACAAGTCCCACTGTCAGGGCACGGTGCACCCCTCTCTGGGGTGAGAAGCTTCCCACCCAGATTAATCTTACATCATACCTGTCATGTAAATTTTACAGATGTCCAGTGCTTGCATTTTTAAGAACACTTGTCAAAGTATAACACTAAAATTATAATAAACGTGTGTTTTAATGACTCCACTTCGTTTTATTAAGCTCTGACAAAAGACAAATTACCACACATTATTTAACCTGATATAAATCCACAGTGTTGTCCAAAACCCAGATCCAGATGAACTTAGATCACAGAGCATTCAGTGAATATGAGATTAGATTTGGCCCCATCACTTAATCAGGAAAAAAATAAGGAGGGGGGAGCACCTTACCTTAACAAGCTTATTCTGTACTGTGCAAAAATCAGACGCCCCACTTTATTTCACTGTTGTCAGAAGGAAATCTCGTATCTCCAAAATGGTAACTTTACAGGAGAAGGAAAAACAATACTTTACTTTTAATGTAAGTCAATGAAACCAGACTTTTTTCCAAGTACTTTTGGGTCGTTTCTTTTAGTCCATTCATCATGAAATTTACACACAATGTAAAGAGTAACAGGCACCTTTAGATTATGACAAAAACTGAAAAATGACAAAAATAGAGATACAAGGTTTTCTTCCGACAACAGCGATTTATTTCATTTCCAGTCAAAACAGTCTTCAAGAAAAAGTCATTCATTTTACTTCTAAGACTGAACTTTGGAGGTGTGTCTGCAGATTCCTTGAGGAACTGAAAGTGAGACTCCTGAACAGAATGGAAGCTGGAATAAAGGTGAAGAGTGACTCACTGAACACTGAACAGCTGAGATTAGATTTAGCTGAGATTTATTTTCTGTTAAATTTATGTTTTCTGCTTTTTTCCTGATGCAAAATAATGAATAGCTTTGGTTTGACTGAGCATTAATCAAATTAGGGGTCTCTAACATTTGAACAGTGCTGTAAATAAGACTACACTCTTTAAGAAGATGGTGCTTTAAGGGTTCTTTAGAAAAGAAAATGGGAACCATGAACACTCAAAGAACGCTTTGCATGATTAAAGGGTTCTGTGCATCATGAAAGGTTCTGTATAGCACCTAAAAGAGTTCTTCTATTGTTACAATGGCAAGCCCTTTAGGGCGCTACATAGAACCCTTTTCAAAAAGCTTCTATATAGAACCATCTACAGCACTTTCTCCATCAATCTGAAGAACGTTTTCATGATTAAAGTGTTCTGTGGATCATGTAAAGGGTTCTTTAGAATGTTTCTATAAAGAACCTCTTTGAAAATGGTTCTATATAGCACCCAAAAAGGGTTCTTCTATTGTGATGATGTCAAGCTTGTGACAATAGAAGAACCCTTTTGGGTGCCATATAGAACCCTTTTCAAAAATGTTCATTATAGAACCATCTACAGCACACTCTCCGTCAATCTGAATAATCCTTTCATGATGCAAAGAACCCTGTAATCGTGCAAAGGGTTATTTGAGTGTTGATGGTTCTATATAAAACCATTTTATTTACTAAAGAACCCTTAAAGAACCATCTTTTTTATGAGTGCAGTATAAGCATGTGAAAAGATCATTGTCATGGTTAAAAGAAGAAAAAAGTCAATACTCATTTTTTTATAAAAGAAAAATGTTTAATTTCACATCATCCACAACTTTAGATGATATACTGTATATCCTCTCAATTTCACAATATGTTCGTACTTATTTAAGGCATAACTGAAATAAATATGACGTTCACTCATGCAACAAATAGATGTTCAGGAAATTGATCATTGCACTACATGGATCTCTTTAGCAAACAAACTGAGAGCATAATTAATACTGCAGAAATCCAGCACTGAGGCGATGACGACACCACAGCAGTGAGACTGTATGAGTGTAGATCAGTGCTGCATATACTGTTGTTGAAGTAACAAAACCACAGATCTCTGAATTGGTATTATACAACAGTTAGTTCTGCCCATGCAAGCTGATTGGTTGAGAAGCGTTCTGTTATTTTGCCAGAACATCACAGATTTTTCACAAACACTGTATCACTCCGCTGAGACGCCGTTGCTAAGCAACGACTTTGACAGCTGTAGGAGACGCTCAAGACATTTGAACGTTTTTACATCTTACTTTGCCACAAACAGAAAATGGACACTTTTAAGATCACATTTGACCGACAGCCGATTTGGTCAGACTCTGAAGATGAGACGACACTAAATTCCCAAACTGTCATCACCACTGAGCAGCTTTTCAGTCGGCAGCTGTGACAGAAGAACAGCTAAACAACCTGGAATCAGCCAGAAATGAACCCAATACCATTCACCAAACTAAATGGGCTGTAAGATGCTTTACAGACTGGCTGGAACAAAACAACATTAATACTGATCTGGCAAAAAATAACAAAACTGAGCTGAACTTGATATTGCGGCAGTTTTAATGCTCAGTCTGATTTGGTCAGACTCTGAAGATCAGACTGCACGTTTGGCGAATGGTGTTGGGTTCATTTCTGGCTGATTTCAGGTTGTTCAGCTGTTCTTCTGTCACAGCTGCCGACTGAAAAGCTGCTCAGTGGTGATGACAGTTTGGGAATTTAGTGTAAGGAGCTGGAGAACGAACTGCCGGCTGAGCAGCGAGTGGGCGGAGCTCGTTACTCTGACGTAGCAACAAGCTGCTCGTTAAGGAACTATAATTTGGTGAAGGAACTGCAAACATTAAAACATATTAAACGCCGCGTTCACGGCCCAGTTTATTAATTTATTACTTTATTTATTTAACTGCTTTATTAAAGCTGTGACACACTCCCTCTCATGTTCTATTGCTTAAATGTTACATTTGAAGATGGTTCTTCAAGGGTTCTTTAGTAAACACAATGGGCCTCATTGACCAATATCTTCCTGAGTTTGTTCTTAAATGTGTTCTTGAGAAACGTCCTAAGAAAAAGTCTACATGAGATTCATGACGTGTTCTTAAAGCGCAGAACTGTTCTCATCTTCGTGCTCTTGAGTGTGTGTAGATTCTGTTCTTACCTAAGAACAAATCCCACATAAGAGAACACTGGTGAATGTCAGTCTTAGTGAAAACTGCGTAAGGAGAAATTTCTTCTTAAGAACGGATGGAGAATGAGGCCCAATGGTTCTACATAGAAGCATGAACACTCAAAGAACCATTTGCATGCTTGAAGTGTTCTTTGCATGGTGAAATGGTTTTTCAGATTGATGGAGAATGTGTTGTATATGGTTCTGTGTAGAACCTTTTTATGCAGGTTTGCACAATGGTAGACACGAGCTTCATCGGTTTGCCGCTTTTTATTATTTTCATTGGATAAAACACTCAAGCAGCAAAGAACAGTGCTTTTTTCCCTCCACTGTCCACAACAACCCCTTCCCACCATCACGAAACTTGAAAAGAGAAGTGAAGAGATAGATTGGAGCAGACACATTACAAAATGACCCAATCACACAACCCCGCTGGTAGAGGATCCTCAAGTGCAGTGGACCGCACCACACTCTAAAAAAAGAGGGTTCCTTCAAGGGTTCCTTAGCAAAGAAAAGTCCACCCCAACCTGCGTGTGATTTAACAACGCGCTCCCAAAGCGGCCAAAGACTGTCGGCTCACTGTAATGAAAATATGGCTTTTACTTAAACCAGGAGCGTCCAGTTTTATCTGCAAAGGGCCAGTATGGCTGCAGGTTTTCACTCCAAACAAGCCGGAGCTCACCTGAGTCTACTTGTTTAATCAGTTAGTCTCAGTCTTCAAACATTTGATCAGGTGACCTCCTGCTGGAGTGAAAACCTGCAGGCAGACAGATGATACTGCAGATTTTAAACAAATAAAAATAAAATCACTATTAAAAAGATGGTTCTTCAAGGGTTCTTTAGTAAAGAAACTGGTTCAATATAGAACCATGAACACTCAAAGAACCCTTTGTACACACTAAAAAAGATGTTTTTTCCATTGTACAAATCTTGAGATTGTAACAATAGAAGAACCCTTTTTGGTGCTATATAGAACCCTTTTCAAAAAGGTTTATAGAACCATAAACAGCACACTCTCCATCAATCTGAACACTTTCATGATGCAAAGAACCCTTTAATCATGCAAAGGGTTCTCTGGGTTTTCATGATTCTATATAGAACCATTTTCTTTACTAAAGAACCCTTAAAGAACTCTTTTTAAGGGTGAATGATTAAAGTTTTTTTTTTTTTACTTTCGAATTGTGAAAGGGTTCTTCAGATTGATGCAGAATGTGCTATACATGGTTCTATATAGAACCTTTTTGAAAAAGTGTTCTATGTAGCACCAAAAATGGTTCTGCTATTGTTATTTATACACACACACACACACATATATATATATATGTGTGTATATATATAAATATATACACACACACACATGACCTGCCTGTCCAGGGTGTATCTTGCCTTCCACCCAATGACAATGGGGTAGGCTCCAGCTCCCCCCTGCGACCCAGAAGGATAAGTGGCTTAGAAGGTGTGTGTGTATATATATATATATAAAAAGGGTTCTTTGAGTGTTCATGGGTCAATATACCGTTTTACCTATAACCATTTCATTCACTAAAGAACCTTTGAAGAACCATCTTTAATTGTGGCATAAAAATACAAACTCCACTCTAAAACAAGCACACATGGTCTTTACTATGCCCAAATTATAAAGTTCAGAATGTTTCATTGTTATTATTATTTTTGAAAGTTGCAAACCTGAAAACTCCCCATGTTCCTTTGTGTACATGAATAATATCGAATATATGCATCAGCACACAGTTCCCATAACAGCACATTTTGTGATGGTAAACTAGATCAAAGTAGAAATTCCACACTGTTGGGCTACAGAACTGCGCTCAAACTAATCACATGAATCGATTCTCCCAATTCTAGTCCTCCTCACTACATACCTCAGTGTTGTTTTTGCTGCAGCGCGCCTGATTCCACTCAACAGAGAGCTCAGTACTGATCTGAGCAGCAGGGCCTGAGATGGAGAACCACATCTGCTCCAACACACGGCCACTGTGAAGTGTGAAGACAAGTTCGGCGAACCCCCTGGCGTTCCCTTTGCACAACTCTACATCGCTGTGAGTCTTTCTTCTGTAATTCAATTAGGCTGCAGAAGAAGGGCACGTCGACGGAGCAGATGTGGTCAGAAAATGAAGACCAGAGGAGGACAGAACAGCCCAAGGCAGATACAATAGACATGGAGGCACAACTCAAACCACATAGTGATGGATTGAAGATGTTCGCCTGTTATCCATCAAATGGAAATGTGCAGTGTCATGGCATAACATGGAATCCGCATCAAACTACTACGAGCACAGCTTGTTTAAACAAGTTTATGATAAAAAAATAAAAAAAAACAAAGCAGCAGTATTGAGCAGAAGTGCCCAAATTGTCATAAAGGGTATGATATGATGTGCCACGTTATTGTAAACAGATGACATTATACAAAAACAAAAGACTTCGATATAAGAATTTCCCATCGTATGCAACTAAATATTAATATAAATGAATATTGCTCAGCAGTAGGTGCGGAATGTTACTTGGTTCTGAGAACTCAAGGCTCGCTGCAGGTTGTGAGCCAGAGAACACATCTTTCATCTCTACAGACTTTAGGGAATCTTAATACAAAATATATTAATACGAAAATAAGAGTAGCACGAAAGCTTTTTGCGAGGGGCTGGTCTGTACAAGCCTTCTGATTCCTCTCCGACTGTCTGGTTCTCGGCGATTCAGTTGTTCAGGTTGCACCTGGAGGTTCAGTGACCGTTTTGTTCCCCGAAAGCGCCCACTGCTTCGGTGCTCTCCTCCTTTCCCCTCTACTGTCCTTCTTCTGTTTATCTGTAGAGGGGAGAACAGCAGCTCTGTAAGGTCATGGCTTTCACTCAAGCCTGCTAAGGGTCACAATGCTACACTGACCTTCCTGTGGAAAGAGCATACGTGCAAAATGACAGCATTCATTAAGAGTTATTTAACCCTCAGGTTATGCTGAGACTGGATTTACCTCTTTTTTGAGAAGGGTCCGACTGCAGAGCCGCAGATTTACTCCTGCAGTTTCACTCCAGCGCTTTCAGGCCAGTGGAACACATGTGCAGTAGGACAGCGCGACTGTGCCATGTAAACAAAGTCGAGCGTTACGAGCGTCCCCATTCGTATTTCAACCAGCGGCTGGTCTCCTTATTTATAACGTCTCTGATGTAAACAGTGACTGTTTGTGCTGGTTGTATGTGTCGCCATGCAGGTTACCATTCGGGAAGGGATATCACTGCCAATCACGAATCAACCACTGCTAACTGGTTCAACCAAAAGCCAAAACACATTATAAAACCATCAGAAAGCAAAAGAAACACTTAATGGTGTTTTGGGATTTTTTCAGCAGGGATCTAAAGTTTGTTTTAGGCTAAGGCTTAATATTATGCTCAGTTTAAGCTGCTTAAGGTAAAGTTTTATTCCTGTGCATGTGATGTAAGTGTACACATAAACCCCCCGTATTATGGGTAAGTTAAATAAGCTATATGTCTATATAACACATTAGTTTACCCAGAGCCAAATCAGCTGTAGTTTGTGTAATATTTACCCTGTGAATCTCTATATGCGTTCAAACCAAAGATAGTTTTAACCTAAAACCTAAAATATAATGTTAGCCCAATGCAAATTTACCACAAAATTATTGGAAACCCACATAAAATGACTCAAATGTTGATTAGCCTAAAGCTCGCTAAGAAAAACCCAAGCGGCTGTCGGCGCATGCGCTGAATGCCACTGGCTTGAACCTGCTGGAGTGAAACGGCTGGTGTGAAACTGTGGCTCAGCGGCTTTGCAGACAGATATTATTGTCTTTTTTGGCGGTCCAGAGACCCCAGTGATGTAAATATAAAAATAAAGTTCTTTAAATAAATGTTTCCTTTCTTTCATTTGATCGAATTAGTCCAGTAGGTGTACATTTGAAGAAGGAGAAATCAGCAAATTACCATAAAACCCTATTATTATACTAAATAATGTAAATACAGTTTACTAAGTAAAGTATATACACTCACGGTGCACATTATTAGTAACACTTGTACACCTTCATGCAATTATCTAATCAGCCAATTGTGTGGCAGCAGTGTAGTGCATGTAGATATGGACCACCAGCTTCAGGTAATGTTCATCAGAATGAGGGGAAAAATGTGATCTCAGTGATTTTGAGGGTGGTGTGATTGTTGGTGCTAGAAAGGCTGGTTTGAGTGTTTCTATAACTGCTGATCTCCTGGGATTTTCAACATCTTTAGACTTCACTCAGAATGGAGCAATAAAGAAAAAACATCCAGCGAGTGGCAGTTCTGTAGATGGAAATGCCTTGTTGATGAGAGGGGTCAGCGGAGAATGGCCAGACTGGTTCGAGCTGACAGAAAGGCTGCGGTAACTCAGATAACCACTCTGTACAACAGCAGAAAACCACGTCGGGTTCCACTTCTGTCAGCCAAGAACAGAAAGCTGAGGCTGCAGTGGGCACAGGCTCACCAAGACTGGACAGCTGAAGACTGAAAAACAGTCTACTCTGATTAATCTGGATTTCTGCTGAGGCTCAACAGCATGAATCCATTGACCCAACCTGCCTTGTGTCAGCAGTCCAGGCTGGTGGAGGTGGTGTAATGGGGTGGAGAATGTTCTTTTAGCACACTTTAGGCCCGTTAATACAAATCAATCATCGCTTGAATGCCATGGCATATTTGAGTTTTGTTGCTGACCGTGTTCCTCCCTTCATGACCACAACTTACCATCTTCTAATGGCTAAATCCAGCATGATAATGCACCATGTTACAAAGCAAAAGTCATCTTAAACTGGTTTCATGAACATGACAGTGACTGTGTTTACATGCACTCAATTATCCGATAACTGCGGAAAATCAGATTCTGTCAGTAATCCGACCAACACGTTTTCATGCACTTGAGTAATCAGATAATGGGGAAACTCCAGGTCTACACGAGTCAGACAGTAATCAGATTTCTGCTTCTATTCAAACTTTATACCGCTGCTTTTTTTTTAAAAACATTGCGCCGCTTTACCTGAAAACATGAACAAACATCATCTAGAAGATGAAGAATATTCAAATCCTTTATTTCGTGTTTGGTTTCAGCGCCGCTCCAACAGTGTTTTGCTGCATCTCGCAACATCCACTGTCTGATCTCGCTCATGCGCAGACTGAGAAATCCGATAGAAATCAGAGTAAGAGTTTACATGCACTGAAATCTGATTACTAAGCTAAAATCCAACCTCTTTATCAGATTTCTAAATCAGATTTCTAGATCAGAGTATGGTGTTTACATGACCATTTGAATAATCGGACAACTGCAGAAATCCGATTATGATTGGATTATTGAGTGCACGTATGCGCACTCAGTAAGTTCAGAGTTCCTCAGTGGCCTTCCCAGTCACCAGATCGGAATCCAGTAGAACTCCTTTGGGATGTGGGAGAACAGGAGCTTCACAGCATGAAAGTGCACCTGAAAAATCACACCAATTGCATGATGGAATCTTATGTTAAACTCAAAGGAACGTGTCCATCATGAAGAACTGAGGATGTTCTGAGAGCAAAGGGAAACCCTACCCAGTATTAGTGTAGTGTTCCTGATGAAGTGCTTGGTGAGTATCTATAAAGTGTGTATATATACACTGTGCAAAATTCTTATACACCAAATAAAGTGATTTAATCTCTTTATCTGGGCAGTGTGTTTTTATAACATTAGAATAAATACAAAATAAACAGAGATATGTAAGGAAGACTCTCCAGATGGGTTTGAATCCCTAATTGCCGTTTACTCAAAACACAGTTTTAAGATGACAAAAACCAGTCCAAAAAGTCAAAAACCAAAAAAGATCACAACACAAAGGTACCAAAGGGAGTTCAAAATGCAGAGTCAAAGAGTTCAGAAAAAGGTCCAGGTAATCCAAAAAAATCCAACAGTCATGAAGAAACAAGGCTTGGTACACAGATTAACTGGAGATCCAGAATAAAGGGAGGTTAATGAGCTGCAGGTGAGAGAGGTTAAGTGTCATTAGGAAGCAAGTCAGTACTCAGGTGAGGCTGACCTCTGGTGACAAGTGCGGGTATTACACCTGACAAGACACTAAAATGTAAGTATGTTTTCCTGAAGATATTTAAACCAGTTGTTTTACTTGCTTTTTATCAGATTCCACAACAGTGAACTGATCTGATCTGCAAGTAACTGTTTTGTTTTCTCTTGTTGCTCCGTGAAGCTCTGCAGTTTGACTAATTATATATTTAGTTTTTGTGAAAGTTAACCTGCCAGATTTTAATGCTGAAGTGAGCTAACATTAGCTAACAGTTCTGAATCGCAAAAAGAGAGCGAAGTCTCAAGAGCGGCAAAGTTCGTTTTGTTTTTGCGAGTATGATTTCTTCCTTCAACAGTTTTTGAATGATGAGTGCAAAACATCAAAATCATTATTTACACATAAGAAGATCAGCTTCCTTTTAGTTTTTGTGTGACATTTATGCCTTTTACACTCGTGGAACATGTTGATTCTTTGAACTGAAACTGTTGAGAGCTGATTAGGGAGCGTCTGCAAATTACCAGCATCAAAGTCTGAGCACAACGCACCAACATGAAACCTTCTGAGCCAGTACAGCCTTTCAGCAGAGAGAACACAAATGTTGGCCAGGTAGTTTTAGAATGGCATCTACTTGTCATTATTGTTCATGAAGTTCTCAAATAAGATTTCTGCCTTATTGATCGTTTGACTTCTAGTTTTTTAAGTGACAGGTTTTTAACATATAAGACACAATCACATGAAACAGTATATACCAATCAGGCACAACATTATGACCACCTCCTTGTTTCTACACTCATTGTCCATTTTATCAGCTCCACTTACTATATAGGTGCACTTTGTAGTTCTACAGTTACAGACTGTAGTCCATCTGTTTCTCTGATACTTTGTTAGCAGATGCTAGGTGGTGTGTTAGTGTGTGTTGCGCTGGTCTGAGTGGATCAGACACAGCAGAGCTGCTGGAGTTTTTAAACACCTCAGTGTCACTGCTGGACTGAGAATAGTCCACCAACCAAAAATATCCAGCCAACAGCGTCCTGTGGGCAGCGTCCTGTGACCACTGATGAAGGACTAGAGGATGACCAACACAAACTGTGCAGCAGCAGACGAGCTATCGTCTCTGACTTTACATCTACAAGGTGGACCGACAAGGTAGGAGTGTCTAATAGAGTGGACAGTGAGTGGACACAGTGTTTAAAAACTCCAGCAGCACTGCTGTGTCTGATCCACTCAGACCAGCACAACATACAGTAACACACCACCACCACGTCAGTGTTACTGCAGTGCTGAGAATGATCCACCACCCAAATAGTACCTGCTCTGTGAGGGTCCATGGGGGTCCTGACCACTGAAGAACAGGGTAAAAGGGGGCTAACAAAGTATCAGAGAAACAGATGGACTACAGTCTGTAACTGTAGAACTACAAAGTGACCTATATAGTAAGTGGAGCTGATAAAATGGACAATGAGTGTAGAAACAAGGAGGTGGTCAGAATGTTATGCCTGATCGGTGTAGTTTAAAACTATATTGCATTTGCGTGTTGAATATGATGAATTGGATCACTCTTCAGCTATTATTTGTTTCCCTTAGTTCCCTTTTAGTCCTTCATTTCCCTGTGACTCCTTTTTTTCCTGGGAAGCTCTGCCTTGATTTCTGAACTTTGCACCTTTTTCACTGATCACAAGTTTACGTGTACAAATTTGTCATCTTTATGTTTGAGATATTTCCATTGTCACACCACCCTCTGTACTACAGTCTAATCCCATGGACTCCAACTCCCAGAATCCAC